CCAAGCCCTGGAACCTGAGAAGTTTGGCGACCGGGGTTAGGTCAGGGGCATGTGGAAAGCCCCTTGCTCCTCTTTCCCGGGATCGCGGCCAAGCCCGAGCGGCTGCTTAGCCCGTGGATTCCTGTGAGGGGCGGCTCCTGCCCGCTTCGCAGTGGCGAGCCCTTGGCCTTCCCTCACTCCAGGCGGCAGGTCTTCCTCCTGGGCCAGTGCCCTCCAGCAGCCACCAAGCCAGCCTACTTTCTTGGAGCTAGTAGGCCCGGAAGTCGCTTCTAGTGAGAAGCCGTTTCTAGAGCCTCTGGGTTGAGCCTGTGTGCAGCACTACCTTGAGATTGTTATACGTGGTGACAGTCTCAGCCATAGAGAGACTAAGGCAAGAGCATCAGGCGTTAGAACTCAACCTGAGCTACTGTCCCAGGCCAATCCAAAAAAAACAAAAAACAAAAAAAACAAAACAAAACCCAGCTCCGTCCCAGAATAGACACTGCATGCCCCATCAGGCAATCTGAATCGCCTGTTACCACATTTGCCAAAAATAATATTCCCCGGCTTCCCTCACACCCTGCTTCTGAATTGTGCCATTCTGTAGATACAGCTCCAATATATGTAAAAACAAATATTTGGCTATTGCTAGCGTTACTTTGTTTGTTTGTTTGGTGTGTGTGTGTGTGTGTGTGTGTGTGTGTGTGTGTGTGTGTGTACGCACGCACGCGCGCCGGTGCAGGTATGTGTATTGAGATTGAGAATTCTAATTGATCTTAAAAACCCAGAGTCAAATATAGCGGTGAAAGCTGAAAGATCAGAGAAACAGAGCAGCCAGCCACTAGAGTTCTTACCTCTCCAAATGCTCAGACTGAATAGGCAAGATCCTGTCTCTATGAACCCTCAGACATAACTCTCTGAACCATATCACTCCTGTCTCCACCTCCCTAGTGCTGGGATTAAAGGCATGTGATCCCAGGTGCTAAAATCAAAGGTGTGAGCTTTGATTCTCTTTTAGACTGGTTCAACCTCATGTAGTCCAGGGTGGCCTTGAACTCATAGAGATCCATCTGCTTCTGTCTCCCAAGTGCTGGGATTATAGGTGTGTGCCACCACTGCCTGACCTATATAGCTAACTAGTGGCTTAGCTTGGCACTCTGATCTTCAGGCAAGCTTTATTTGTTAGATTACAAACTAAATATCACCAGTATGTGTACCTGTGTGTATTTGTGGGGGCCAAATTTGTGGTATCTTTCTCTTTCCATCTCCACATTTTTTGAGACAGCGTCTCTCACTCAATACGAAGCTCACCTGTTTGACTATACTGGCTGGCCAATGAACTCCAGGGATGTCTCTGCCTGTCTTTACAACTGGCTACCCCTGGAATTGAAGACCAGTCTTGGCTACATGAGATCATGTCTCAAAAGAAAAAAAAATTTACTATGGAAATATGACAAGCTATAACCAAATTGGAAAGGATTTCCCATACAAAAAAAAAATAGAAAGCAGTAGAAGGAAATGCATACTGTCATATTAGTGACATACACATTACAGACCACAGGAGTTAAGACAAGACTTGAGCTCCATGTAAACTATCAACTATCAGAAATGTTTCTTCCTTGGTGAGCCACTTTGGCTTTGAAAGAAAAATTGGACACAGGTTGATAAAGCCAAGAGAGTGGATGTCTGAATCTAGACAATGGAAGTGGTTGACACCAAAATCATGGCAACTGAAAAAGTGCAGGACATTTCTCCCCACTTACATGGTGGCTAAGGAAAGAGAAAAGGTGGAGGAACTCTGAGCTGCAGGCTATGGTGTCGGGATCATTCGGTGATCAGTAAGGACCCATTAAGTGACTTTTAGCAGGAAGTCAAGGGTATACAGTGCTAGGCGAGAGGAAACTTAAACTGGTGATAATGGGTTAGATGAGTCAGAGGAAACGGCGGAGGTCTTACAGTAGTTCACAGCTAGACAAGGATGAGAAGTAGAAAGGGGCAATGCAAGAAAGAATGTGTCCGGGTCTTTGTAACACACTAAGCGTGCAGAAGCAAATTGGAAAGGAAGGAAGATTGTGGGATGGTTCCCAAGGTTTTGTGTTGGGAAACTTGGAGTTGCCCTGGAGGAAGATGCTATGCTATAATGAATTTGATGTGACATCAACACAGCAGAATAGTAATACTTGGGTGCCAGTTGTGAATCAGAATCCAGCAAAGAAGCTGGTGCTAAAGATAGATGAAGTGTTTTTATTTGCTGAAGAATGAGGGAGCTGATGGAGGAGGAAAGTAGACAGCTGTACGTAAGTGACCGCATGTGTAACCCTCGAGGGGGAAGCTGGGCTGGGGAAGTAGGTAGCATGCTTACACATGCTGTGCAAAGCCCAGCTTGTCCTCAGCATGTCTGCACATCCCACTCTCCCCTGAACCATACCTGCTTCTTGCAGCCACCATCTCCCCAGGCAGGGATGTGGCAGTTGACTATAGGCTCCCTAACTTGTCTGTTCCTTGTTATCAGGACCTCGGGATAGCTCAGTCTCAATCAATAGGTTCCCTCTCAAATTGGCACCCAGACACAGGCCTCCAAGCAGAAAAGGTGACAAAATAAACATGCTCTCCTCTGCTGACTCATGCCAAAAGCATCACTGTGTCACGAGAACCCCAAAGACATTTGAGGCTTGCAGGGACTATGGACTTGTCCTGTGGAGAGGACTGCCGGACTCTCACCAGGGCCATCTGGTTTACCTTTTGGATGAGATTTCTACTTTCCCTCCCCATGCCAGGAGCTGAATAGCCCATCTCTATGCTGCTTACTGATTATTGTTCAGTTGACTTTTTGATTCCTTTCACTATTCACCTATTTCATCACACACTTTATGGATACGTGTGAATGTGTGTGTATGAGGGGGTGAGTGTGTGTATATATAGGGTGAGTATGTGTATATGAATATGTGATATGTGTTTGTTGTGTGTGCATGTTTGGGGTGTGTGTGTGTGTGTGTGTGTGTGTGTGTGTGTGTGTACGGGGTATGAGGTGTGAGTGTGTGTTTAGTGTGGAGGTAAATGGGGGGTGAGTATGTGTGTATGTGTGGGGTGAGAGAGTGTGTGTGTGTGTGTGTGTGTGTGTGTGTGTGTGTGTGCCCTTAAGAGGCCAAAGAGAGAAAGAAATTGCTCTAATACATTATCTAAGTGATTGTTACTGGATTAGTTGGTCAGTTTTCTGGATTTTGTTTGTCTTTTTTGCTCCAGTGTTTGTATGTTTTCCCTTTCATGTATGTTCTTATTATTTTTAAACCATTTTGACATTTAATAATTGAAAACAATAAAAAATCCCTTCAACATGTGCATGAATAAATTTTGCTACACTCAGAATACTATTAGCAAAATAAATCAGTAACACACACAAATTCAGGTTAGGGTCACAATAATTATTTCTGGTGAAAGGGACCACGAAAAAAGAGGTGTTGTAAAAATTCATTTATATTTCTAGAAATGATACCACTTCATGGTGACAAAGATCAGCACTGTCCTGGGCTATGGCGAGACAATGGGAAGGGTGAAGGAGACAATGTCAGTGAGCACAAGGAAACAGTTATGAGTGACCTGTGTGTATGTTTTTTGATAAGATCTTTAGGAATCTGCTTATAGCAATTTTATCAAATTGTGTTTTAAAGTGTCTATGCCAATTATATTTTATAATAGAACCATTAAAAAATTCAGACATAGGAACTGTGATCCAGGAATGAAAAGTCTAGACTAGCGTAGTGTCTCCTAGAAAGTCTCCTATGTCTCTACAAGTCTGGTTCATCAGAGAACTACTAAGATAAGGTTGCTTCTTCCACATTGAGCCAAGGGCATGAAGAGGAAAAACAATCAGTAGCTTATTAAAAATCACCAGGTTATTGTGTACATATCTTTTGGAGAGGGGAGTGTTGAGGCAATAATGAGGGGAGGGAGAGTGTCTGCATAAAGCAGGGGCAGCCTGCCAGGTCCAGTGATGGAGAACACTGACCCAGAGCTAGTCAGCCTGGTGAGCAGCCAATCAAGAGGTGTGTGTGTGGGGGGGGGGGTGCTGTCCGCGCCCCTTGTTCAGAATGCTTGTTGTGTCTAAATAGCAAATTGTAGAGCAATAGGGATAACTGAAGGGGCACTGGCTGTCCCCTTCTGTCCATCTATGAAGTTGCATGCTCTCAACTTGAGGCTTAGAGTGGATATGCCAAGCCCAGTTCCCTCTGTTCGATGGAGCTGCAGATCTCATTAACACCAGTGTGCTGGGAGTACAACACGAAAAATCGATGAGGTGCATTCCCAGAGCCAGACAGTCCAGAAGTGATTTTAAAGTGAGAAGTTGTGGCCATAGCAATGTGCAAAACTCCTGGACTTGTTGTAACAGGTGTGTCAAAGGCAAACTAGGGTGACTTCATGCCTCTAAGTCCTGATTACCTTGTGCTGCCACTAGGAGGCTGGGTTTCGGAAAAAGGTTAGGTGGACAGCTGTTGCTGAAGCTGCTGGGTCCCTCATAAAGAGCTATCATTCAGATGTTTATTAAGGACCCCAGATGAGAACTGGGGGGTGAATTTAGTATGAAAAGTGTGATGGCAACTTTCAATTGGCCCCAAAACTTACTGCACATGATAGAAGCAATATGATCATGGGGTGGTAGGTTTCCCCAAACCAAGAAGTATGATTTATATAAAAAAAAGTTACTGTCATTTGAAACAGAAGGAGAGTAAAAGACAATGGCTGGTCTTCCTATCCTTGAGTTCAGCAATAGGATGGGATGATGAAATGCACAGGTTCTGCCTCCTACCATAGCTGGGAGTACAGAACGCAGTCCAGGAAGGACCCAAGTTGAGGAACACTCAAGGGAGAGGCGCTCTTTTGCTTTCCATCAAAAAACTCCAACTATGGGACAGAGAGATGGTTGAGCATGGAAGGCACTGCCATCAAGCCTGACCACCATTCCCTGGAGCCCACATGGTGGAAGGAAAGACCTGAG